CTCTCTCATACACACACACACAAACAAAAATACCAAATGGTGTTATTGGCACAGTGCAGATCCTCAGTATAAAAAGGTCATCTACGCTATGATGAAGGAATGTTGTCTTCATCTGTTTCAGGATGGCTTAAGTACGACTTTATTAACCAGTGGTTGTTGTTTAGTGCCTTCCTAAGGCTTTACCATCACATATGCATTTATGTACACATAAACACACACCTATTGAACTGAGTGGCGTCCCGTGATGTAGATAAACACATTTTATGAATTTGTTGACCTGCAAATAAACAATATAAGCAGGAAATCTCTAAATGTTGCTTCAATACAGCTCCTATGGACATTTTCATTGCTGTGTGTGTGTTTTTGCCCGTGTTTGCATGGTCAGGAAGCAAGCCAAAGCAAGCGTCAGCATCAGCGTCAGTGCTGTGTAGCGTCAGTGTGTCAGAGGCAGCGGGGGCCGTGGCACCCATGCAGGCTTCCCATCAGCACAGGGATGGAGCTGAGTCGGCCAGACAGCACCGCGGCACACTCCAAACTTACTTAGTGTAATTAAAGTTGAGAAAGGTTAAAGTTTGACACTGAGATGAGGCGAAGGGTTCTTTCTTCCAGGCAGGAGACAATGTAGGGTACCTCGTCAAAGCGGCTAACCGGTGAAGCCCCTGACCCTCTTGGAAAGCAAGGGAGACACAGTGGAATCGCAGACGCACATCCAGTATCATGATTAGGTGTTAGGCCTTGAGAGGAGGGGACAATTGTGTATACATGTAATTAAATTGGCCAACCTTTTGTGGCACTACTCCTATTCAGGCAGATACAGGAACATCCATCCGGAAGAAGGAGTGTGTAATAGTCTGTGATCCATGTCTGGAAGGAGTGTGTGGATACGCTGAGGATTTAATCCTTAGAACAAACACAACAAGATGTAATGTCAACTCTAGAGATACTGGGAGTTTAACGGTTTGAGAGTGCCACAGATTAGCTTGTCAGCAATTCACAAGAGTCAAGCTTTGAGGCTAGAGAGGAAATAGTGTGAGCCCTCATTTGTGTTATGTTATATGTTAGTGAAGTGGCCTTTATTTGATGAAGTTTCATATGAAAAACATATTTTTGTTTGATGTGGCAGCCACAGGAAGTTTAATGAAGAGCAGTTTATGGTTTTGTTGTTGGTTTTTTTAGGATAGTTTGCAACTGAACCTTTTAAAACAATGGCTCTCTTTAGAGATATATGTCACCATTTAAGTTTGCTCCACAATAGAACAATGGAAGGGCTGTCTGTAAAGGCCAAAGGAAAACAGAAAAGAAACAAAGTCTTAACGTATCAGTTCTCATGAGGTACTTTCTGTGTTATACCGCTAAAAACTATTTAAGGTCAAGAAAAGATGGATAGAAATGTTTTATATTAAAAAGATCAACTGTAATTTATATGTATTGCCACCATTCACTTATCATTACATTCATTCTTTTATAAAAGCTCCTTCTGCTACATCTGACATGTAAAAGCAGGCCTATACTGTAAGTGGTAGATAATCCAAGCAACATGATTGAAAGATGTGAACTACAGTAACAACTGGCAATTGGTATTCATTTATGCATTTCTTTTAATGCAAAAGGACTTTTGCATTAAATTACAGATTGTGTGATATATGCTATTGGGATTTTAGACGTCGCACAACAACAATAAGTAACAATAACAGTAAGGAGATGAACCTTTTAGGAAAGCTTAGCTGTTGTCCAGTAGTCCTTTTTCACATATTATAAACATATAAACATGTTCTTACCTCTAAAAATACACAACTGTCACAAAAAGAAACCTAAGATTGTGTTATTTAGTAATTGTAGTAATTAATTTGTAAGCACGAGTGTCCACATAAACCAAAAATCCACAAAGCACATACTGCACTACGAGGATATACATGCTTACTCACACACAGAGTATGAGCACATGTTTACACATATCAACACACATGTACACGCACATTAAAACACACATGTGGACCATATTTGTATTCAGTCATATGCACTCAGATGCAGACCTAGGTGGAAACAATTGGCACTTTGCAAGCAGGGCCTTCGCTCTTTCATCTTGAAGAGATGGAACACATGTCCCAGGCTTTGTGGATGTCAGGAGCCCATACAGGAAGCCCACCGTGTTTTGTTGATGTGTCACTTGCACCCTCTCCCCTCTTGGTGTGGCGAAACCCACTTTCTGTAAATGATAGACCCCTTTGTCTGCCATCAAAAGGACTCCTTTACTCTCCGCCTTTCTTGAATGGGTCTTGGCAGCTGTCATGCAAAACCAGTGAATATCATTACAAAATTAATTCAACCCATCTATAAGTAATTACATTTTTTTTCTCTTAAATTCCCTCTCTGCTGACCCCCTCCACCTCACACCACACTCATCATAATTATTGCTCCTAGCAACAACCTATAGCTACCCAAAAAACAAATAAACAGCAGACATATCAAATCATTTATAAAGTGAGCGGGGATGCTTAATAGAAACATCATTAAAATCATACATTTATTATGCAGACGCTGATGGAGTTAGTTATGTCTGTCCAAACGTCTGCATTACAAATGCCTCACTTGATTAACTGTCAAATTTGATTACAGATGGATTATATATTTAACAGCTGTAGGTAGACCACATCCCAGTGCTTTCCCTTTTATGTTTTCTGGTCAGTCATTAGCATACAATTTGCAAGAATATGCATGGGGGTGTGTGTGTGTGTGTGTTCAGTTGAATTATTACATGGTCTTAAATAACTTTTTGTAAGAATGATGATAATGATAAAATGCTTTAAAATGTTAAAAGTAGGATATACATTCTAAAATATATACACTGTAAGAGCTACAAGAAGCAAGAAAATTGTGACAAAGCTGAGTTATTGAATGCTGATTGTGGTTTAAAAGTTAAAGCTTCAATTGCCATCCATTTTGGAAAGGAAAAAAAGAAAATCCTGCACACACACTCTGCGTTTTAAAAGGTGTGAGCTAGCACATTACATGTTAATATCTGCTGGAGCTCAGAGGTAATGGGCATTTCATTTTGATGTCTTGTCCTTTAACATTTTAGTCTGGCATTTTTAATCCAGTTCAGATTAAAACACTCCCCTGTTCAGATACTCGAGCTCCGCAATATAAAGCCCCTAATCTCTGGTTCCCAACCGCAGAAAATCCTATTAAGATCACCTTCAGTTTAACACACACATTGTTATGAAATGCAAAATATGCAGCTTCACCGGTGCACTTTTAATTGAGGGTAAAGTGCCCCCGGTAGATAGATACTGCACTGTATGCAAAAATCATTTGAGTAATTTTGAGAATGTCTGTCAAGGAGAACCTCCAAACCACAAATTCTCTCTTGGGGGCTCCCTCAGGGCCGAGCCACGGGTGGGGGGCACAGGGGTTCCGTGGGGTATCATCGGGTGTCTCACAAGAGGTGTCAGCTTGGGAGGATTTGACTGATTAGGTAATATTCCTGCATGTTCTCGTGTAAGCAACATTCTGAGAACTCATTTCCAGGCGCCTATCCCCCTGTAATTCTTGTCCTCGCCGTCACTCTTTCACAGCAACTTTCATCTCTTAACATGGCGACTCGGTGCTTAAAGAACTGCCTGTGACAACAACCTTGATGGCGGTGGCAGGCGTCAGCTTTCTATCGCAAAGCCACTTACCCAAGAGGGGCGCCCCCCTGGTGGATATGGTGACGCTTAAATTGCCCTCACGTCCACCATAGCAACCACACGACGACATGGGAAAAGAGTGTCTAGGCAGAGGTTTGCTACCATTCATCATCATAACCCCCTGTCCCAGAGAAATGACCTCGTAAATGCATCCGACTCATCGACTAATGAGAGGTTGCTAACCTGTTGTTACTGACTGCAGTGTCAGTTTCCAGGAGTTAAAGGGGGGAAAAAAATA